TATTTCTTAAGCCATGATCTCGATATGTATTGCATCTACTTATCATTACGTTTATGTACCACCCCCCATCTCTCCCTTAATGTGTAGTATAGATACCTGCACAATGAAACTACTGCTACTCATCCACATCTTACACGGCCCAAATTTAGACCATCTAATCTAATTCTAAGGAACGCGATCGGAAGATATACACCGCCACAGAGCCACCGCCAAGCTGTAGAGCACGAGGTGCTCCGACTTCCTGCTGTAGAATGAGTCATATGCAGGTGGCCCAGAACAGTTTGCTATGTTAAGATATCTCCTCGCAACATGCGGAGGTGCGCGCGCTTTCAACGCGTTATTAGCTCCACTCCTCACATATATTGTGCGGTAGTCGTACGTCAGGTGCTGATACATATATCATTATCTGTCATTGCGAGCCTAGCGTGATCCTCGTGTTATCCCAGACGCTGTAGTTTTCGGAGAAACGTGATATCCTCGATGTATAAATTTAATCACTGATGCTATACTTATACCACCCTTGGACCGAGAACGTTAGTTCCGGTGGGGATGTGTTGTTGGTATTGCCTTGAGGAAGCACTTTCGTCACTGTGAGATGATCCTTAATTTCCGGCGGATTATGAGCATCTTTGATCCTATGCTGTGAAAGAGAGACGCCGCTGGCATAGAATGCTTCATTAACAGCACGTTAGTCGGCCCGTTCAACATGCGCTCTCCATACAGCATTACAATGCGGCCAGATGGATATCAGCTAGGGCGCTAAAGAGATACAGCAAGGTAGGCTGCGAGATCGTAAGTGACGGATAGGCAAGGATGTATGGTAATAAGCGCGAGATGATACAGAATGACGTCGGAACAGCAAATCTAAAAGTGAAAACCATGCGATGAGTACTCGTTCGACCCACCGTATCTGCTCCCTCCATACCCGCCTCCTCCATAGCCACCACCTCCGTATCCACCACTCCTATATCCGCCTCCTCCAAATTGAGCAAACAAATTAGCAATGTCTGCTTCTGTCATATTACCCATCCCTCCGAACCCTCCGCCATCCATACCATCCTCATCCTCACCATTGTCATACCTGCTCCTTTTTTCAGGATCAGAAAGAACAGTATGCGCCTCCACCACGAGCTTGAACTGCTCCTCATCACCACCTTTATCAGGATGGTGCTTGAGACTTTCTTTTCTGTAAGCCTTTTTGATGTCTGTTGTTGAACATTCGCGGGGGACGCCAAGGATCTTGTAGTAGTCCTTTGTCTTGCTCCGTTTCAACGCGACTTCTGCCTTCTTGAGTTCTGATTTGAGAGCCCGGACGTCTGCGTCGGTGCTGTTTCCGTCAGATTGTGCTTGTTGGATGGCGCTCTTGAAGTCGGCTACTGCCTTGTCGTAGTCTTCAAGGTGTAGATGGATTCGTGCACGCGTTCGGAATGCTTTGAACGACGTGGACATGAGTTCCAAGGACTCCTCGATATCGACGAGCGCTTCGTCGTATCGTTCCAGCTTCAAGGCGTTATTAATTGATGGTCGAGACAAGAAACGTGCAGCTTACTTTAACCAGCGTCGTTGCCCTATTTGATAGTAATGTTGCGCGTATCTGACCGCCTTTTCCCTCCTCTTCGGATGCACCGATCCGGTCCAGAGTCTCGCCGTATTTTTCTACAGCTTCCGTTAGACGCCCAGCTTTAAAGGCGACATTTCCTTCTTCCTTTAGACGCTCGACATCCTTGACACGTTTCCGTAGTCGCTGCGCAGGCCCGTATGAGGGGTCCAGCCGAAGAGCACCTTGGACATGGGTGATAGCCGAAGGAAGTTTACCGGTCAAGAATAGCACTAGTCCCCGTAATGATAGCACCTCAGGAGAGTTTCCCTTCATTCTGAGCGCGTCGCTGTATGGGATCATGTAAGAATGAGCGAAAAAGATAAGAATTAGAAAGATTCGTACTTTGCCGCTGTGTTGGCGCCCTCCCAGTTTCCTTTAGCCAGCTCGAGTTCTACTCTCCATACTCTCCAGTCCGTGGGTATTTCATCTCCCTCACTTTCTATGTTTTGGAAACACTGATCCAACGCGATCCGGGCCATAGGCCAATCCTTCCTCTCTCGTGCCGCGTGGAAATGCTGCAGGTGACCGTCGAGGATAGATATCTTGCTTTTGAGCTGTAGTGCGGCGTCATTTTTGGGATCGATGGAGAAAATGGTATTCAAGGTTGAGAGAGCGGGGGTAGGTGAACCGAGCGCGAATTGACACCGCGCCAGCCGTAGTAGCGTTTTGGGATTGGGGGAGGAGGCTTGCAGAGTTGCGGCCTTTCGACAATCTTCTAGCGCGGGTTTAAATCGCTTTAGAGCCATGCTTGAGGCAGCGCGATTCGTCAAGTAGGATGGTTCAGTGGGATTCAGATCTGAAAGACATTATTTCAGGGTCAATGGGAATTCAATCTTTGGTGCTCACCGATAGCTTGGGTATACAGCTCTGTAGCTTCCCGGTAATTCTTCGCGCGAAAGGCGGCATTGCCCTCCTCTTTGATTCTTTCTGCCCGCGTCTTGGGATCTAGCTCTTCCTCGACAACGACTTGGACCTCGGGCTCAGGTGATTTCGGTGAAGCCGGTGCTGAGGCAGCGGCTGCTGTTGTCTCCTCATTCCTACTCGTGTTTAGCACCTGTTGGAAAAACAGGGAAGACCCTTCTAACGACGTACTTTGCGTTCCCAGCCTCCTTGGCCGCGCGTCGGGCTTGTTTTGTCTTCTTACTGACCATTCCTTATATAAAGAGAAGAGAAAAATTACTTACCTTACCGCGCTTCGTCACCCTTTTGTTACTTTGTCCCCGAGTTGGCATACAGAGACTATTTGTATCCGGTGGAGATGGAAAACAATGGAACCCCGTCTCGTCCCGAGTACCGGAAAACCCGGAAGGTAGTTTTACATCTTTGAGAGCTTTGATTGGTTGAGGTCAGTCACATGCGATTGAGCGGAGTCTCGACCGATTTTGTCGACTTGTCGAATAAAACTGTCATCACTGCACCAGCTGTGTGCAACTTGACTTGTTAACTCCCGTTATTCAGACCACGATGCTTTCTTCAATGCTCTCTCTCCGTCATGCCTCACGACAATATGGCCCCTCTTTACTCTTTTCTCGGCGCGCGATGATGTCAGCGTACCGTCCGAATCAGAGTCTGTCGGTAGTGGATTCCCCGCCTGTCGCTGTACCGTCGGGGTCGTCGTCAGCGACAACGCTTGACCCTAGTGCAGCTGCACCGCAGGTTGTTGCTCGGCCGCCTCCTGTTCCCAAGGCGGAGAAACCTAGACCGAAGATTAGAGCGACCAAGGCTGCGCTGACGATAGTAAGTCACCTTTTCCGTCCGTTTTGAGGCAGTTGCTGATGGTGACGCTTGTAGACACCAGAGGCGGTAGAACGCCTCAGGGCATTACTACGTGGCCCAACGCCGCAGCTCATCAGGATTGGTGTTCGCAACAAGGGGTGTGCCGGACTTTCATACCATCTAGAATATGTGGAGGAGCCGGGCAAGTTTGACGAGGTTGTAGAACAGGATGGCGTCCGTGTGGTCATAGACAGCAAGGCGCTCTTCTCAATCATAGGGAGCGAGATGGATTGGAAGGAGGATGCTTTAAGGTGCGTTCTTACCCCTGCTCTTTATCGTAATCCTTACTCATTAATTACAGCTCAAAGTTTGCCTTCAAGAATCCAAACATCAAGGATGCTTGTGGGTGTGGCGAGTCATTTAATGTCGCACCATCGGCGCAACCATGAGACGCCCCTCCAATGTTGTACGATTCGATTGAAGATGCATTTACCAGTATTGTATTGTTCCCCCTCGCAGACTACCTTACTTATCATATTCAGTGTATCCATATACATGCATTTATTCCGCATAGATGACTTTGACAATCCCATCTCTTTGCATCGTTGTCATTTCGGGGGTATTCCTCCATCGCATGCTTTTTTAGGTCATGCATCGAGCTGCGCAGAGACAAGCACATTGGATACGCGTTCTGGAACCTGTCGTGTTAGTTCTTTTTACTGAGTGTAGCTCGACGCACCATATGAAGGATGCTCTTCGATGCTCCACTGTCCACTGTCTTCCCTACATTTACCCGGCTCTGGGACCGACCCTAGACCCTGAAAGACCTCATCAGGAAGCCTAGCCTGATGTCAAGTGCAGAGAGCTACTCAAACAAGGCGTTGGTGCATCATTGCACTTGGATCCGTAACGTTAAAAGAAATGATACAGCTATAAAAACGGCGCGACTTTCATTATGCTTGGATCAATCCAGTGATCTTTCGTGTGGCTCCAGCTAGCAGTTCTAGGCAGTTCCTTGGAACAGTGCTCCAGTTCCTAGTTATTAAAATCCCCGTATACAGCATCTGCTCAAACGTGATCTTTGGGGTCAATCAACACATCAAAGACAGCTAGCTCGCAGATGGTCTCGGCTTGAGGTTTATTTATACATCCTGTATCTGTCTCTCCTATTGATCGCGTTCCCGAAGCCCAAAACCTAAGGGGATATCATTGGAGTGCGCTAGCTGTATTGGACGCAGGGATGGATTGGATCTTTTTTTTTCTGGGCTATGATGACTGAGCTTCGAGAGCCTGTGCATTGGGATGATTACAGTTCATGCTACTTGTCTCTGGCTCCCCTGATGGTCCTTTCGAGTAGTGGATTTCTCAGTACAGAGAACAGAAGACGGCCAAATGCAAGGTCCATTATCTTTTGGTCAATCAAGACGGTAAGCGCGCGCCTACGTGGAGTCTGGACTCGAACCAGATATTACGGGGGCAACCTAACAATCTCGTAGATCTTGGAGTAATTGTTGATATGTCCGTGAACGTTTACTATTGGAGTAATTCAAGATTCACATTGGAATATATACCCGGCACTTATGTCATCCTGACAAAAGAGTCAACGACCAGACTCTGATGTGGAGTTAGGAATGTACCATAAGTTTTCCACCAACTAAAGAACCTTACGCCGCCGTTTGACGTTTTAACGTCCTTCCAAAACGTGCTTGAACATTCCCTCTATGAATTCCCGCGTCGCCTCGGCGGCAGGTAGAGTGTATGTCCTCCGTTGCATACCAAAGGGAAGCGCTGTGATTCTGAGCTTTCTGTGTCGCTTGAAATGGAACTTTGTCTCCAATCCTTGCCACACGCGATCCCGCAGACTCTGCCCTCCCTGATCAAAAGTAAGTACCGTTAGCGTTTGGTCGATCAAAATGGCAAGAACAGCGAGTCCATGTTCGTCTGAATGATTTTGACAGGCTCTTGTGAGGCCGCTTTTCTTCGCTTGGAATGGGATGCAAGAAATGCCGACGCGGATAACGGGTGGATTGTACCACCTGACATGGAGTCTGCATTCCTGGTAGTCTCGCCGAAGAAGATCCAGAGGGGTGAGATGGGATAAAGAAAGTCGCCTTCGCATGAGCTCAGCGGTGAGGTTCTGTATCTCAGGCAGACTTTGGAGAGTATCAGGCGAGGGTCGCTCACACGTGGTCTGCAAGATTGAACGGGGAAGCAAAAAAGCCACCGCATCAATGTCAATTTGCTCGACATTATCCTTTAGACCGTTGGTATCTAAAAGGATAGCGCATAGAAGAAGGGTGGCGGGCTCGGCAGGCATCCATTCTGGACACTGAGAAGTGACGAGAGAGGCGCAACTTCCTGCTGTAGCAATGGTGCGCTCAGCAGTTCGAGTGCATACAGGCCCTCGTCGGAGTGGTGATCGATGATTCTCTCGACAACAGTATTTCCATATGGGTGCTCGCCGTCCCAAGATGGCTCCGTGACAATTTCTCCGGAAACAAACACGGGATCGACGCTGATTGTGATCAACGAGAATGAGCCTGTCGACCTGGAAAAGAGTCGGGCGTGGATATCTCACGCTCGAGGTCGTCCAGAAGTAACAGCTGATCCTCTGGCGAATACACGCCCGCAAGTTGCAGAGCGTATAGATTTTCTGGTACGTAAAAAGAGCTCCTGCCTTCGTCGACCGTATTAACGGAACCGACTGGGATACCGTTGTCCCAGGCGTATACCCATGAATATACGATCGAACAGGCAATGCTATCAAGGTCTACAAAGGGTCAGACACGATTAACTGTTGAACCAAGGACAGATTGTACCTGGAATTTCATTGCCAATCACGAATCGCCAGTCCCTGGCTAGTGCCGGCGTTTCTGAGTGCACATGGGCGAGAAAGGATTGCTTGCTTTCCGATAAAAAGTGGCCCAGTCTGTTCCACGGTTTCTGCCTGAGTAGAAGGTCTGACGACCTAGATCGCTTCAACGTCAGCGCCGTGAAAATTTGTCGCATATAGACAGGTTTTTCCTGAGCGCACGGGCCCACGCCATATGTCTCATTGTGATGATGGTGATGGCGAGAAGCGAAGGACGTCAAGTTCGAGTTTGGTCATGTTTGAGTCGAGGCATCCCAAACTCTGCTCTATACCGCCATTATCCACGCTATTTCATCTGTACATACTGTTTTTTTTCTCGTCCTCTTCTCTGCCTCTCCATTCTGTCAAATGAAGGTCCATGCCTCTATCAAAGGTCTTCTCACATCCAAGAAGGGACGCAAACATAAGTCAAACATCGATGACACGCGCGAGAATTCGTGTTCTCCTGCAGTCTTGGTTACTCCTTCGTCGACCGCTCCTAGGCTTTCTATCGACAGAACGTCTCCCCTGGATGAACTGCTCCTTCCACCACCGTCTGTTGAACTGTCTGACGTGGACTGGGAGCTTCGGTCGCGTAGTCTGGAAAAGGAAAACGAGAAGCTAAGGAAGGAAGCTCTGGTTAGAGAAGAAGAGTACAAGCGGCTACAGAGGCTGTACTCCGCCCTTTTGAAGAAGTCCCAATCGATGAATGTCAATGGGAAAATCGAGCGCAAAGACAAGAAACAGGCGAGTTTTATTTTTTGTCATTTTCTCGGACGTGTTTTCTGAAAAGAGGCCGGCATATATAGGCATATTCTGCCACCAAGTTTGCCGTCTTTGAGGATAAACCTCGGTCACGGCCAAGGATCAGCCGTGACACGTTTGTTTCTCGCATTCCAGTTCGCATCCAAGCTACTCCTTCGGCTTCGAACGGTGTTCCCTCGTCTCGACTTTCTCCTCTGCGTCTAAACAGGACGCATACTCTGGAAACGCCGTCACTACTCATGTCGCCTGCCGTCATCCTCTGTTCCGCACAGAAGCCTGAACTTAGTTCACCGACGCCTGCTCCTCGTCCAGCCATTCGAAAGAAGAAATCTGGAGCTTCTTTGAAATCTGCGCCTAACAAGAACCGAAGTCGCTCCGCTCCGCTTGCTACCCGTCGTATCAATTCAAATACCGTTTCTTCCTCGTTTTTTACTCCAGTTTCGCAGACTAAATGCCCCGGCGTGCATAAGAATACGTGTAGGAAAGGAAGGGAAAACGGTAGACCGGATTGGACTTAGGGAAAGCGGCTTGGTTTAGCGTGTGGCCATCTGTTGAACTTTTTGCTTTGGTGTCAAAATAAGATACGTTCTGTTGAATGCATACCTATCCATCCGTCCTAATCTTGGATTTCGGCTCGTCAAAGTGCGGCGTTTCTTCGTTTTGAGCACGGGCTTTGTGCGTGAACTTTCCACGAGCCTGAGATAATCTGTCTCGTAGAGGACAGGTGCATAGCCGGCTGGGGACTTGCTAGTGTCCGTATCAAGATCACGAAGATTATCAGAAGATTTGCGACGTGTCACATCAACGACTACCCGGCAGGTCATGCAAGACGGATCTTGCAACACCTTGCTTTGCTTATGCAGTGCTCGCTAACTGGCGCTACGCGGGACAAGACTGAACAGAATGGGAATACCATCCGGTTGGATAATCGCGACATTTTTAAAGTATGATGTCTGAGCTCTCCCATCATCGAGACCTGGGCGGTCCATCTGACTCTGAACCAGAAACAGAATCCAGGCTCGTGCATCCTTATTCTCCGTGTCTGAGCCTGAGAACAGTACCAGGTCATGAGTCCCTACCAGGTTACAACCTTGAGTATGCCTCTTCAACACCATCTTACTTTCACAGTAGTGACTTGTCAGTAATGAAGTCAGACGCCAGGACTAGTGCAAGTTACTGCTACATGACCCATCCCATCTTCGTTTCATCTTCCAACATAGATCACATCAAGATTGACGGGCGATCCGACTCACCAATTATCGATATCCAAAACGCAGTCCATGAAGCACACTATCTTTGGTTTTATAAAATGAATCGTACTTGGATGATCCAGAGCCAGCGGTCCCCGCAATGCACTCCTCTTCGATTTTAAGTTACCCCCCGCCTCCAGCTGGATTTAACTATCTCGCAGTCATTCGCCCGTCTCTTAAACTGATGCTTCTATGCTCAGCCTGGTCTTCAGCCTTGGTTCCGCTTCTCTTTGCCTTATTTCTGTTCTCCTCCAGGTCGCTGAGGAGAACGCCAATTTTCATGTTAAATGTTGTATCCATTATCATGGGGCTAGCCTTGGGTGTTCTGGCTTATTATAACGGGGTGAGTGTGATTGCCTTCCATATACTGCTAAGCGGCGTAACTTACGAATGTCATAGGTTACGGCAATCCTGTCTCCGGATATAATAATCCCAGGGCACCTGTCATCACACAAGCAGTTTTTATCAATGCTCTGCCCCTCTTCACGGAGTCGATCTTGGTACTCAGAGTGATGACTGTGTACCCCCTCAAATCAACACCTCGTTTGACTCTCGCGATCGTTTACATCCCATTGTGTTGCTTGAAAGTCGCTCGACTAGCCAACATTTTGGTTTTCTGGGGAATATGGTTTCCGGACATCCTAGCCGGGGGTAACCCTATCGTTGTTGCACAACAGTCGTGGGACTTCCCCTGTGACAAGATTGAATGGTCTCTGCAAATGTTCGACAACGCGTAGGTAGCTATATGATCTGTATTGGCAAGATTTGACATTGGGCGTCAGATATGCTTCGGCACTCTTTCTTTACTGCCTTAGAAGCAGTCGTCGTGTAAATGGTCGGATCGAATGCGCCAGAAGTAAACGTCCCACCAGTAAGTCGTGTAGAAGTGTGTTAAAAGCCGATTATTGAGAATTTTTAAGGGAAATACTCCGAACGCCTCAGTACCTTGTTCTGGATCTCCGTCTCTAACTTCGTCTTCCCGGTCATGCTTTCATTTGTCCAGTCCATTCTTGCTTTCGACGCTTATCTTTTTTTGGACGCCACATACATCATCATGTCCAACATATATTTCGAAATTATTGCTGTGTTGCTTGCCACTATATGGTCTGCAGGTAGCAGACGGTCGGAGGAGCAACAGGCAACCACGGAGATGAGTGTGTCGGGTGCAGAGTCTCCTCCCCGTTTTGCGACAGGTACTATATCCATGACCACAGCACCCCAAGTTCCTATTCAAGATCCCGATGATATCACAATAACTGTGGGGTCTCAATCTCTTATACATACTGAAAGTGCGAGTCTGGACAAAGATATAGAGTCGAGGAGATGAGCCAGGTGTTTGATGCAACTTGAATGAATGGAGTGTCTGTTTTTCGCTTTCCATGGTTACGTTAAACGTACTAATGATCCTACATGTTAGCGTATAGTGAAATTATCTACCATCTATGGTACCTTTTGTATTGTTCTTCCGTGCGATACAACAACTTATTGCTACTTTATAGCTTGATGTATAGTAGCGTACTGGTTACGAATCCTGATTTTTGACCTGGCGCCTTCAGACACTGGTTAGTACTTGTTATAAGTCGGATGAACAACTCTTGTGTGTCACGGAAGCTTTGAAAACGTACTAGAGAACAGGGGAGTCTTCAATTTTCAAATGTCGAGAGGATTCAAGGTCGGTGGTTCGCTATTTTCCGAGGTTGCACGTGGTGGAGCTACAAGTTCTTCCCTTCAAACTTCATGATCCTCATTGAAACATGCCGTATTCTGCATGGTAGGAATAATGTACGCGGAGTTGGCAAGGAGGACAAAACTCTATGCATTCGCTGGACCCGATTAGGCAATCCTTCGGCAAGTTTCTTAAGTAACGCCGCGTGTTTGCCATAGGAGCTCACCTGCTCTTTCAATTGCTTCGTATACTCAACCCACCAGGTTGCTCCTGAACAGTAGCCGCATTCTCTGGACACCACAAATATCCTCAGACACGTCGTGCTCAACAGCAGTAGGTGGAAAGTGGACATCTTGACTTCGCTTCACTTTACGTGTCTCAAGGTTATCTAGGCGCTGAGATTGCTTCTGTGAGTGATTTTCCTTTTGAAGCTGTCTCTCAATCCAGACTTTGGCTTTCTTTTGCTAGAAACACGTTTTCATGCCTTTATAATCCACAAAGCGCCTCGGCCATCATGCAATCGTCATCCTCTGACACCATGCCTCGCAAGCACGTATATCGTAGCGATCTTTTCAGCCCCGACCAGCTCACCTCAAATGAGCTTCTGGAATACGCATTGGAGGAATTACGGAGTGGCCTTACTGAAGACAATTTCAAGCATGTCTTTCAAGAGCTCATCGATAACGAGAGCCCCCATATTCTTCCTTTGGTCTTGTCGTGTAAGTTGACACCGTCGAACCATCCGATCGCCTATCGGGCTAATATCTTCATAGTCTTGAGCGAGACCACTCCCTTGGTTTTGTGGATGTTGCAATCATTTCCCTCTGATCCAGTGAATTATGACGCCACCATTCATTACAAGATTATATCTCGTCTATCTGCAGAGTTCATGTTATCGGACTCCTATTCTGTGCAAGACAAAGAGTTGTGTGCACGATACTATGAAACAACTCAAGTCACGTCCAATGTGTTGAAATTTCTTGTCTCTTTCCTCCAGGCCATCAATATCCGGTCAGATCAACGTAACAAGAACGGCAAGGTCAGCCAGAAGAAACGTAAGCAGGCCGAACGAGCAGAGAAAGCTGCAGCTTTGGTCGAAAAGGATTTCGATGTCCTGGATGTCGACATGCCTGAAGCGTCGAGCGACGCGTCCATCCTCGTGGACAGTATTCTAACAACTCAGAAGAACGCTCTTAAGGTTGGTGCTGCAATGTCTTCACTCTGCTCCTTGAAAGCTAAAGCACGCTCAGTTCTATTTGGAGATGCTCCGTTGTCCCGAGGTATCTCTGTCTTTCAAGGAACGTTCTATCGTTGCCCCACCACCCGCCGAAGAGGAGAAGACCATTAAGTTATCTGTGACAACAGTCCCCGAGGATCCAGCAGTGGTCGAGCTGCCATCTGCATATCCGAATGTTCGACCAATGAAGTCGTATGTCTTCGTATCCATTCCAGCGACTACATCACACTGATGTTATCCAAGGGCATTATACTTTGATAGCGCCAAAGGTTTTGGTGAATGGACAATCATCATATCCACGAACGCCGATGATTTTTTGCGGAGCACCCACAGAAAAGATGTCTCTACGTTCAAAATTATTGTGAAGAAGATCAAGTACGTACCATATCGTGATTCACCCTAGATCATACTTATTTAGTATACTGCAGGGAGCTCTCACGCGGACACTTTTCCGATGACAATCAAAAGCGTCTGAGTGGAAGCGGGACTGATGTTCCAGTATTCGAAGCTAAGATGACTCGCGATCTCAGGCTTATCGTAGGGCGCCTATTTCTCATCATTGCGAGCGTTGCTAACGTTATGTTTCCAGTATCAAATCGATGTAATTCCATGTGACGAAAGCGTACGTCCGCACTCTGGAGGACAACCTTGTGATTCTAGTTACTGAAATTACTTTGATTCATTGGCAGAGAGAACAACAAGGTAAGTAAATGATCATATCTCTTTGTTGTTTTCTCATGGTTATTGAAGCTGTCAAAATCTTTGGCATCCATACTCACGCCCAAATCGACAATCGTCTGTGGAGTTCTATCAGTAGTCAGCTTCGCAAAAAGGGAAGGGAGTACCGAAAAAGGTATCATTTTTACTCTCGGTAACTTGAATGCTAGCTTAAACGTGGTGGTATAGATGCGCGGTCAGGAAGCGCGCGGATCAAGCCTCGAAGGACACTTTCATTCCAGCGTTCTTCCCTCCACTTCCTGAAGTACTTCCAGTGGAAATTGAAGATATACCAGACCTACGTCCTGACGAAACGGCCCAGGTTGACTTAGCATTTTTCATTCCTCTGAAATCAAATGCTAACTATTCCATTCAGGTTCATTCAAGGCTTGTGTAAGTCTTGTATTAAGGAGCCGAATTCCAGTGGCTGACCCCCCTACAGAGTTGAGAAATACGTCACATTTTCGCAGGTATGTTCTCGTTGCATCCGCGGACCAATAACTTGACCATGAACATATGCAGCCTTTTTTGAATAGTACGTCCCTATGCAATGGCGTCCAAATATCAGACCTGATTCATTCTGGGTAGCCATCCTAGCAGATGTAGATGCAACTTTTCCTCATATGGTTTCGTCCGCCACCACCTTTGAATGACACTGTTCGTTCGCTGACACTATGTATTCGCAGCACTCAAGAGAAACGGATTATAGAGCACCCAAATTCCTGCTATGTTATAGGTCGCAGCGGCACAGGGTATGTGCGAGGAGTTTTCCGGTTCCATTTACTTGCTTACACCTATCTGATTAGGAAAACCACTACCATGTTGTTCAAGATGTTGCTCATTGAGCGAACATTTCAACTCATGGAGTCGGATTTGCCCCGTCCTCGTCAAGTCTTTGTCACTAAGTCCAGAATGCTTGCAAAGAAAGTGCAAGAATATTTTTCGAAGCTGGCCGGTTCCTTAGCAATGGCGTCAAGAACATTTGCTGAGCTCATGCGCTTACCAAAAGCAGCACAGGATCAAGAAGATTTGGGACTAGTTGATGTTGACGACATCGTAGATTGGCGAAGCGATCTTCCTGCCAAGTTCAGCGAACTCGAGGAGAAACATTTTCCGCTGTTTATAACATTCGATGGCGTAAGCGTCCGTTTTCTCTATCTGTGCTTCTCGTTTATCAGAATCACAGCTTTGCGACATGTTAGAAGCCGATATGAGCACCAAAATGTTGGCCCCCACGAGTCCTACTGACAGAAAACGCGCTAAGACTCATAGGGGTGTTATTACGTTCGAGTCCTTCTTTGAGTTTTACTGGTCGCATTTTCCCGAGCATTTGGTGAAAGGATTAGGTAGCTGCTATTTGTTTTGGTATTATGTTGGCACTGAAAGGGCATTCTTATAGATCCTGCCTTGGTATTCAGCGAGATCATAGGTATGACATTCACCCTATCTAGCGTTTGGTCTGACCCGTTGTTCAGGTGTTATCAAAGGCTCAGAAGAGACGTTGAGCGAAGGGAAGCGATATCTTAGCAGGACTACTTACCTTGATCTCAGCAAACGCCAACAATCCACATTTGCTGACCGGAGAGACGAAGTGTACGAAATTTTTGAGTCGTACATGCACAAAAAGAAGTTGCGAGGAGAGTATGATACTGGCGATCGGTGAGCGAATTCGGTTGAGGCGCTATGAGCGGAAAGTAACTCGCCTAGAACCCACAATATCTTGAAGTATTTCGCGGAGAAAGGTATTCCCGGACAAGGTATCGACCATTTGTGAGTTGTCCGCCCATACTCCCCATCCGTTATCAATCTTGTTGCAGATACGTCGACGAAGTGCAGGATAATATGCTCATTGACACGATGGGTAATGATCCTTTATATTGCTTTCCCGCGGTCATCTTACCGATTTGTCGTTTAGTCTTGAGGGCACTATGTAGCAACGCGGATGGTCTCTTCTGGGCAGGTGATACGGCCCAAACTATTTCCGTAGGAAGCTCTTTCCGTTTCAATGGTTTAAAGGCATTTCAATGGAATATTGAGGTAAGATTTAATCGGAATGATTCTCATTCGTGAGTCCAACCAGACGAATAGGATCAGTACCGGAAGAAGCGCGGACCCGCAGCTGCATGCAAGCAGCCGCCTGAAATGTTTCAACTCGCCGTCAATTATAGGTCCCACGCAGGCATCGTTGATTGCGCCCATTCTGTCATTGACCTTATCACGACTTTCTGGGAGGATTCCATTGATCGTCTTTCTCCAGAGATGGGCATTGTAGACGGCTTTAAACCTGTCTTTTTCGACACTGAAGATCGTACGCAATTGGAACAGTTCATTTTTGGAAATGTCGGTGATCACATCGAGTTCGGAGCTCAGCAATGTTGGTCTTCCATTATTAACATTGAAGTGGGCTGTACTAATTGTGAATTTCTTTCGCAGGTATCATTGTTAGGAATGAAGCGGCGAGAGAGAGGCTCCAGCAGCAAGTGGGCGAAGTTGGTCTTGTGCTGTCCGTTTTTTCTCCTGGTTGTGATGTCATTAAGACTCTGATTTCAAAATTCTATAGAACCATATACGAAAGCAAAGGACTCGAATTCAATGACGTAGGTCTATCAGGTTACAAGATGATTTGCTCACAGTCGTGTCGCATCTTTTCAGGTCCTTCTTTATGATTTCTTTGCCGATTCAATTGCCGGTCCTTCATCCTGGCGAGTTGTGCTGAACGCCATCGATGAAAGCAAGCAAGACCCTAGGAATCCACCTCCGCGATTTGACGGTGTTCGTCATGCAAGTATTTGTAATGAGGTAGGAATAAATCACACTATCACTTAAACTGGAGCAATGACCCTTGTTCAGTTAAAATCCCTGTATGTTGCAATCACCCGAGCTCGTGAAAATATCTGGATTGCAGATGGTTCTGAAACGGGAGAACCCATGAGGGTAGGTTCAAGTTGGCATTATCCTATCCAAACCGCATTCTGATCCCATACAATCGAGATCTTTTGGACGAGCAAAGATTTGATCCATAACTATACTCCGGGATCCGATGCTCCTCGCCTTGCGTCTTCATCAACGCCCGAAGAATGGGCTGCAAAAGGACGCGAGCTTTTCTATCGAAAGCAGTTCTCGCATGCTAAGCATTGCTATATCAGGGCAAATCTTCCTGTTTTGGCATCCATCGCAGGTGCCTATGATTTGCGGGCGAAGGCTCGTAAAATCAGTGGCACGTCGAGATCAAAGGTGCTCGAACGGTACGCTTGTTTTGCAGAAGCAGCCGTCTCGTTCTCGGAATGTGCCAAGGTCACCTCGAGCTCAAAGGATTCCTTAACCTATTTCAGGATTAGTGGGGAATGCTTCGAACAAGCTGACCAGAAGTATCGAGCTGCCCAGATGTTTTTCCAGGCACAGGAGTACACCCATGCTGCAGAGCTGTATAGGGATCTCGGAAAGTTTGACGAGGCAGTGGCAATTGTGAAGGCTCACGAAGGCGAGATGTCATCGAAAGTGGTCGAAAATGTCATCAAACTCGCCAGACTAACGTACTTCTCCAACCGCCAAATGAAGTAAGCTTTTTCTTGAGGCGTCCAGGAGGTCATTCTAAAAAATTCCGATAGAAAGGCACACCAGTTATTTGACTCCCTCGAAGAAGAATTGGAGTATCTGGAAGAAAGAGACCTTGATATTGCTCTTGCGGAATTGCTAGAATCAATGGGTCGACTCAGCGAGGCTGCTGAACTTCATTATTCTGAGGGTCGTAGAGAAGAAGCCATCGAACTATTTCTTCGTGAAGCAGAAAACAAAAATGCTTTGCGTCGGGCCCAAGAATGCATCCTCGAAGGGCTTTGGCATACGGTTTCATTTGGTGTTGACCCCGATACCATACGCTCAGATCCTACCGTTTTGCGACTGTTGCGTTTTTCTTCACAACTCGATGTGACATCCATGAAACAAATTGAAGCTGGGGAAGTAAGTGTTGGCCTCACGTCTGATTTTGGTTTTGTTGTAGCTTATAGTGACACATTTTCAGCTGGCCATGTTCATTGCCATCATACAAAATCAGACATCTCGACTACGTGAACTTGGGTTGGAATTTCACAGGATGGACCATACATCCGCGGCCTTGTTATGCCTAGATCAATATTTTTCTCGGGCCCTTCGAATTCAGGACATGACTCTTGCTGATGCAGTCGAAGAACTCAGCTTGTTCTATGCCTACGTGAACCTCTTATCCTCTGCAGCGTACCGAACGGACCCTTGTGGAGACGCGGCAACTGCTGCATTGTTTGGTTTTCGACGGATAGCGGAAAACGAGTTCCTTGTGCCCCAGAGCACATGGCTACACTCAGCGGTTGTTGGGCTTCATCTCAAGAATGTACTCGGCGACTCCGACTTCACTCTGTCAGTGCCCGAACTACGCGGAATGTTTCAAGAAGTTCTGAGAAGTCGCCTCAAGCAAAGGACGGCTGCCGAAAACGACGAATGCGGGAGAAGCAAAGCCTTTACGCCTTGCATAGTATACGCCGTATCTGGGTTTTGTAGACGGTTTGAATGTCTCGAAGCTCATGTATCACCTTCCATGATGGATGCTGCTTATTATAATATGCGCATACGCCTGCACTTGCAACAAATATTGATCTTGCAGTCGCTTAGGGAGAGTGCTGACGAAGACGTGGAAAGCAAAGGCACCAAGTACGCTGCCATTACCGTTCTCCGACTTTTCACTGCTCATGTTTGTACAGATTCTGGCTCAACCGTCTTTATGAGGCCCTTTATCCGCCTCATCATATGTTTGGCTCCATTTCCCATCTCGCACTTCATACAATTCCCGAAGCTGAGAAAGCATTGAATGTTGTGAAAGATTGGGTGCGAACGCTTGTTTATGGCCGGGCTTATCACCCCCAGATGAGCTTCCTCACGGATGTGATGCGGACAACTACCTTGGCCCTCATGTTCGACCGAAAACAGGCCGGTTATCTCAAAAATGCAGCATATTTCAGCATATACACTCCACCCATGTATATTCGCCTAGGTGGTTCGTCCGTCGTTTCGGAGCTTTTGAGTGCGATGTTAGGGACGGAAAGTTGGTCTCTGTCGGCCGGTTTTGCATTTATTCAGCAAGTCCATTCCCAATTAAATTCTGTCCGACTTTAACATTACCTGCAGGCATGTTATCAAGCTTCAATTACCTATCAACATAGGTGTACTGTGTGACCTAGTGGACTTTCTCTGCGGTGCTGTAATTCTTTGCAGTCGTCGCCCTGGAATGGCATTTTGGCACGACGTAACAGTGCCTCGCAGTTGGCTCCTACGCTTTATCAAGCATGATTTGCCGTACTTGAACCCGAAGATACGAACAAATACTTACCATTTACTTCTGACACGTATGTGGGATCTTCTTGGACAACTGAACGATGGCGGGAACGACTCAGGTAAGTGCCGAATCATCTGTCTCCTTATGGTCCTCAAACCATATCAGATTATCTTTTGTATGGAGCTAAAAGAAATATTTCGAAGTTGCCACCTGTGGTGCGCCATGTTTATATGGCCAGGATGTAAGTGAATTGATCCATACCTCCGTGCATTGCATATTCATTGTATTTCGCTAGACTCAAGGCCATTGGTCTATGTCAGTATCCCTGTATAAGTCGTGAAATGCGTTGACTGTTCATTTAGTGGGCTACAATATCCGCAGCGATCTTCTAAGGAGGAAGATCATGCAGTTAATACTATCCTTGCGTCGTGAGGGACTTTCATCATTCCCACTTTGTAACCGGTACGTGGTGCGATTTCTACAAGCAGGTACCATCTCATAATGTTGCTGCAGATACATCGATTCCGCAAGATATTCGTGGGATGAACTTGCAAAGACTATACGTCGTTCACTGCAGAATGATACTATGGATGAGATGATCCAGCTTCTTCACAAGAGCAGGGCCCCTGTGAAAAGATACACCTTGTTGGGGGTCCGCCAGGTTGTCTACGACAACTTAATGGATATCCGGCTAGCGCTTGACCCTACTTTGCCAGGATCCAGTCAGACCTCGGAAACACATATAGAAGTCTCCGAGCAGGAGGAGGATGATCAGACGGAAGAGACAGAGCATCTTCCACATATTGAGATGGCTCCTGACGAAGGCGAAGACTCTGTCGATGCAGCTAATGATACCATTGATGTCATTCCGATACAAGATATGACACGACCGGAGCCTTCAGAACAAGAAATAGCCGCCGCAATCCGGATACAACGAGTGTATAGGCGCGTTCTTTCTCGTCGACGAGGCATTGCCATGACCGGGAGAGCTGGCCTTCACGCGCAAATATACGCGTCATGCACCAAAGAAGTAATTCGGCTTGGTGATAACCCCGGGTTATATCTTCGCTTGTTTCTAGGTCCGCTGCCGCACATTTTGGTTTGTCTCGAGACAGTTCGTGTCGATTCAATGAATCACAAGAAGAAGACGAAGGAGAAACTCAAAGGGTGTAGCCCTGATGAGATGGATGCGCTTGATGACCTCTTGACGCAGACCAAGTACGTGTTACTACTTGCCTGCTTACTCTTAACAGCAACTGAGGCATTTTTGATCTCTCATAGTAAGGCAAACAAGGCGTCAATCAAATTACAGAAGGATCTTGGGCCAAGTTCCATGATTCACGAGCGCTGCGACGACAAGCAGCTCAGAAGACTAGTGGAAGAGGCTAGCACATTAGTATCTTCTCTCCCATTCGTCGCTTCGTCGGAATTGTCGGATGATTTGCATCTTGCTGTCAAAGGCATTATGACTGAACGTTCGCTTCCGGGTGCTGGTAAAAAGCCCGTGAAACCGACACTCAACATTGAGGACGATTACTGTTACTGATTCTTGTCCTAACATGCCAACATATCTATAGTCTGTGATATATAAACACCCTTTGATCATTCACGCACCGTCGCTGAACTAATGGGAAACATATCTAAACATGTCATGTAGGCAGTTCATCTGCCACGGTTGACCCCAATCCGCCGCTGTCCTTTCCGAACTCACTACCCAGCTCATCAGACAATCGGCGCGTATCTTTAGTCGCTTTCACTTGCTTGGCAAAGGCAATACGCTTGGGCAACATATATCTCATGTCAATCCACCACAATGTGAACGTCATGATGATGACGAGGATCCAGAGTCCGAGAGATACCTGCCAGCCATACTTGTAATGAGGAGCTTGAGAGGCTGGCCATACGAGAACTTGAGACCAAGCGGAAATAGCGTAGTAGACAGCGACAGCTGCAAAGTGTCAGTTTCACAATAATCGGCAGAAAAAGGTCACTAGCTTACCCACGCCAACCACAAGCGTCCTTTGCTCGGGATCCTGGGGGATCAAGTCTGACACCCAAGCAAATATCAAGGGAGCAGTACCGAGCGCGACAAATGATATGAAGTACGACTGTAAAAGTTACTAAGACGAGACCGTAGGAAGAGCAACAGATGTCACGTACGAAATATTTGGCACTATCAGGTACATTCCAGATCGTCATGATGATGCATGGAATAAGGCCTATGAAGAATAACAATCAGGGCTCAAAAGTGAGTTTAAATCTTGAGACAAACCAATAAGGCCTTGAAGAATGATAAGCCAATGCCTGGTTTTGAGCCAGTCAGATAGTAGTGCCCAAATCCAGACTAACCGCTGAATATGAGTAACAAGATGGTCAGACCTGTTGAAGGCGTACCAAATGCTACTTGTATAGCCTGACCACCGATTGGTATAGCGTTAATTTCCGACACGCCCCAGCGACTCGTTCCATCAGGATTTTTGAGCGACTTCAGCCAGAGATTAAAGTCTGGAATGACGATAACCACCAACATTTCCAGTCGTCAAAGAGGCATGGAAACTTACAAACGTAACCATAGCTAGCCAGCACTATGGCGACATAGAGGATGGTAATAAAATATATGACCCAATTGGTAGCTGAGCGTTTGATGCTAGCCCAAGTCACCTCCTTCGGTTCGGCTCGGTTATGCCTCTCCAATCGTTCCATAGCCATCGCGGCGTGACCTTTGTTGAACCAGAACGCCCTCGGATTAGGTTTGTTGGGCAAATCGGGAAGAAGGAAAAAGCCGAAAAACGCAAAGACGACGGTCATAATCCCGTTGATGATAAACAGCCATCTGTAAAGAAGAAAATTAGCACGATGTGAGGAAAGGAAATGAGAAAAAATACCGCCACCCCGCTATTCCATAGTGTCCATCCAAAGTGCTCTGTACAGCGGTCTGAAGAGCATTGGCCATCATGCTGCCTATCGCCTGACAAGAGTGGTAGAATCCCATACGCTTCGCGAGCTCTGTGGGCGTATACCAATGCATAAAGAGCGTCATCATACCGGGCCACGCGCTGCTCTCGCATAGTCCCAAAAAAGTCCGAACAGCATAAATCTGCTTTGGACTGTGACAGGCAGCAATGCTCCCGGTCAAGATACCCCAGGCAATTTCAAGACCCGGAAGCCAGAAGGAAGGTCGGACGTACTGCAACGCATGAATCGATATTAATCATTAATTAACGCACAGAGGCGCAAACAATAGCACTTACTGTCATGATAATTTGTGAAGGGACGAGCTACAGAGCAAAACCTGTTAATACCTGTTCCACGGATGTGAGAAGAACCACTCGCCATTATGCAGTATCCGACGTTGAAGTAGGTCGTAAAGTAATTCAATTCTGGGAAATTTTAGAATAAATTTATAAAAGGTGAATTTAGAAGCATCACCATTTCCGACTAGGTTCAGGTCTTCCTACAGGGGAGAAGCTCACACGATGAATTTGCCGATAGAGGCGATTGTTCACGCACTTTCATCCCAGATACTGATCAACAAGAAACCGAATGAGGGAGCGTTACGGAACGAAAATGAGAACATACCATACGCAGTATTGATGTTTTGCTAACCAAAGCTACTTATGAGGCAAACGGTTTCGAGTACATCTGGCAACGTACCTGGTCCAGATACTTGATGATCTGAGATACGCATCCGAAAAACAACAAGAAACAGTCCAATCGGAGGACCAAACTCTTCTCGATCAAAGAGCGAACATGACATGGGACTGCATGTTCCTCATCTGTGTCTTGAGATACAGCTTCGGGATTGGAGAAGGTGCCGGGCATACTAAGGACGACGTGGTGCACGGAGCTAAGAGCCACGCCAATGCAGGGATCCCGCAAGAATCGTTCCCTTTTCTACCTGCTGGAGAGCTAGCGCTATCAACTGGGCCGCCGGCGATAAGTAGAAGGACAACATGGTCATGATTCTTGATAGCGGAAGAGAAGGTGCTCGCAGGGTCGATTTCAATAAGAACGCAGAACACGGCACCTGTTAAGCCCAGTAGAACGTAGATATAACAGCTGTTAATTCTGTCAGGTAACGGCTATAATAAGTGCAGAGGACGATAAAACTTACTGCACTCCAATAATTACTGAATAAAGTCGCAGCCGGCTGTCTTAGATAACACGCTATCCAGCATGCTGTGTCATCGTTGTCATCGTATCCACGTGTGCCCGATATCCCGTCATGCCCGCTGAAGCACAGATATAATAGCTGTTAACTATAACAACTGCGAGGGAGAGGGATATTTACGGTACTTGAATAATTTTTGAATAAAGTTGTGCTCGTCATTATCAAGTCCCCTGGCATGTTTTGTCAGCAGGATTATTCCGCACACGTGCACCTGCCGTCCCGAGTCCCGTCGTCCCGATCACCGACTATCCATCCTGTCGCTGTGCTCGTCGTGGACGATGGTGAGCTCGTGCTCCATCTGTACTAAAACAGTCAAAATAATGCTTCTTTTGTCGGACCAAACCTTAATTTTCACCACTATCTCACCGTGCTCATTGCTCTTCAATACATTGGACGTCGGACCGACTGTGATGTGTCAGCATCCGGAACCGGCTACTTGCGGGCCAACCGACGTAGACTGATGTCCACTTCGATGAGCAATTCTATCCTCTGAGAAGCATCTTAAGTATTCGGGTTTTCTGAGATTGCATGTATTCAAGCATAGCTACAATATGAGTAAATTACAAGGCAAAATACCAAGTGGATGATTAAAAGTCTGATTAAAGTCTGATCACTTCTGAGGCCAAGGGACTTACCCATATAACTTCGACTTATCACTACCTTCTATCTTCGATGTCTGTTCCTCCTAGGACCTATATATACATGAGTTCATACAGATCCCCAGCTTGATAACATAGTCAACTACATAGCCTATGTCCGACAAATGGATAGAAGGACTGTCCATGAATATACTTAAAAGTAATAATATCAAGTCACGGTCATTCATGTATATATACAGGATCACTGCCTATGCCGTCGCCCTCAAGACTCCATGTGCTCCCTGTTCCATCATCACAAGCAGGCATAGGTACTATGATCAACATCATAGATGCTTCGTGCAGGCTGAGAGCAGGTGGGAATTGGGTGGGAATGTCATGGAGACTTGACAAGTAAAGTATTCTTTACCGCATGTGCAGTAATTAGCATACAAACAATTGATTGTGATTATTCCACTTTTTTCCGTATTTTTTTGCGAAGAAACGAAGTGGAAACTTCCGCCGTCGAGAGGGACAGCGAGCGAAGGGACGGGAACATCGGGTGTTGATCGGGAGCTTCGGGAATGACAGGATATCGGGCACACGTGGATACGATGACAACGATGACACAGCATGCTGGATAGCGTGTTATCTAAGACAGCCGGCTGCGACTTTATTCAGTAATTATTGGAGTGCAGTAAGTTTTATCGTCCTCTGCACTTATTATAGCCGTTACCTGACAGAATTAACAGCTGTTATATCTACGTTCTACTGGGCTTAACAGGTGGAACACGGACCGATCCTCCGCCGGCAAGCAATAAACCGATAAGAACTTGAGAAGGCAGGCAAATATAGATTCACATCAAATTGCACCTTCAATCATACTCGATGAAGCAATGTCAGGCACGTATTTTGATGAATAGTGTATCATGTATATCAATTCTCAATAGTACAACGTGAAACGGAGCGTCACCATAATCTTATATGTCGTCTACTCCCCAACCTTCTCTTCATGAGACACCTTCCCATTTTCCTCATCATGTTTCTCATCTAAAGTTTCAGTGATCAAGCCAAGGCGTCTATGGATATCTTCAAGACGGCGAAGATCCTCTGTGGCCAAATTGGTTGTGTTCCCAAACAATTCTTCCATTTCTTCCAAACTTACTCCCTTTGTCTCTGGGACCTATGTTGACGCTGTTAGTGGTACGAGTTCTTACAGGAAAGAAGTATGACGTACCAGGAACAGAATGAAGCAGCCTCCTAGGAACGAGAAAATCTGCATTGTAATTCAGCAGCGTCGTCTCACCATAAAGATTTTAGACGTACTCCAAAGAAAACAAAAGTCCCATATCCTATGTGCTGCAACATCGACGGCGTAACTTGACCGACTGAGATTTTATGAGCATCCTAGAGCGAAAAACAAATTATCGTTCTCTCATACCTATGAAGTTGTTCATCTAGGAAACAGGTATTCATCAGAAAATTATGGCAATAAACGAGAAAATCGATTATACCCAATTCGAGGAGGCAGCAATGGACAGGCCTTTGCCTCGAACACTCAGAGGGAATATCTCTGAAACGATAATCCAGCCACAAGGACCCCAGCTATAACCAAAGGCTATCATCCTCATTGAGTGAAAAACAAGGAGCGATGGTCACCACAGAACATACCCATGGCGAAAATCCAAACGAAGACGCAAGCCACCCATCCGGCAGCTGAAACGGTAATGAAGCTTTGTACTTAAGGGTATTACTCAGATACACCCACCTACATGGCTAAACAAGAAACGTGTCAGCCTTGGTAAGTCATCTATTAAATTCTCCGCACCTCGGCCAGGTATCGTGGAACCTACTCGTCAAAATAGCGACGACGAAATGACATCTAGAGAATAGTATGGTGTTTATCATCCAACGTACTCCGCGCAATACATTAACAAACTCACGTGGCCATGAGAAAGGCCCCGGAGACAAGTACTGGCTTCCGTCCAAGCTGATCAATGAACAAGACTGCTGGAATTGTCGCCAAAAACATCCTATCAGTGCCGAAGTTAGCAAGAATGAAACGATCACAGCTACGTGTCTTACGCGATGCCAACCACACCTGTTGCGAGAAGAGATATAGTGTTCCCTGTTAGACCTAGAGATTCGAAGATGCTAGGCGCATAATATAAAACAGCGTTGACGCCGGTCCATTGTTGAAAAAACATCGTTCTAGAATAGTGTCAGGGCGTGAAAGGATCGATGATCGCTGGTAGCCTCACAGTGAGCCGACAGCGACACGCCAAAGTAAATCTTGTGATGGCTTAGGGTTAAATTTCAGACGTGAAAAGGGGATGAACCCACTCCGATCAAGGATCAAGCTTAGATAACTGTGTAGGCCCAGCTTAAATTGGGATGCAAATGACGGATCTTGATATTGAGGAAACTGGGTTTCAGAGATTTCTTTCTCGAACAAGTATTGCGCTTTAATTTCGCTATGGTAAACCGGATTCTTTCAGTACTATTCGGTAACAGTATAATGACAGTGCACTTACAGGAACTCGATACGCACGAGATCATCGTCCTTGGGAAGCGACCGAAGATTGCTGAGCACCGTAAGGGCCTCATCATCTCGTCCTTGGTTGACCAGCCATCTAGGTGAGAATGGCATGAAGAGGATTCCACATCCGAGTATGATCGCGGGTGCCAGCTGGAGCGCCAGTGGAATTCTCCAGGCAGCTTCACTTTGTCCTGCACCGGTGCCACCAATATAATTTGTTCCATAATCGATCCAGAAGGAGATCATGATCCCGAATGTAATAGCTAGTTGCTGGAGTGCCACCAAGCTCCCCCGTACCTCTGGAGGTGCGAGCTATATTGTCCGTCAGCCTTTAGTAACACAGTTTGAAGCAAGACTGACCTCTGCATTATAGAGCGGGACTGCCATACTGGTAGAACCAACGCCAAGACCAGTCACAAATCTACCACCGTAGATAGAGGAGGGTTTCATGGCTGCAGTCTGGACGATAACCCCTACACAAAAGACGACAACGGCTAAAAAATCAGGATTTAAAACATTGACGATTCCCTGAAGCGGAAGGAAATACCCACCCAAAAATATGGTGTACTTGCGGGATAGCTTGTCAGCGAGATAACCTAAGAAAGTACATATTTTGGTTCTTTTCAAAGAGCAGTTTTCACCGACCTGTCATTAGAACGCCAACCCAAGCTCCCAACTCCAGTATAGCGACCAGCCATCCTTTCTGCTTCGTGTCAGAGACAGCAGTACCCATCCTAGAACAAAATCAGATACATATATCATCGAAGGGTCAATTAACACACCGCTGATCGAATGTGGACATTCTGGATGTCGTTCAGTCGAACTTCATTAATTTCAATGAGAAGCAGAACCTACCCAAGTACTCCGGAAAAGACACCCTGAGAAAGAACGTCAGCTCAGGCCCTCACCGTACAGTATTACTTAGCACTTGATTATATCCTGAGGTTTAAATCTGGGTCAGCTAGATATTATTGACTCGCGGTTTACGAACCATAGAGCCTATTGGGAGAGGTTAATGACGACAACAATGAGGGGAATAATTTCTTACAGTCCTCCCAGAGAAGCAAAGACTGCGATCAAAAACACTTTGCGATTGTGCACAAGCCCTGCCTGCACATTCACGACTACTATAAGCCCGGCGATCAAGAAGGAGACAAACACGCACCCATCCGGAAGCTCCCGCGAGAGCCTTGCGACGACGTGCGGACAACGGAAAATCTCCAGTAGAACCTCCAGCCATGTCTGAGAAGATCAAGAACAGAAGGGCACCAAGAATTAGGCGTCTGCCTCTTTTTGTGGTTTCCCAGCGGGTAGGCGGTCCGGAAGAGGGTCACCTGAGGATTTATATGTTGCAAATGTTACTGTTAGTTGGCCCAGAACTGCCCAATGGGTAATGCGACCCGCAAGGGCCTGATCCCGGCTCAGCGTGGAGCGAAGGGCCAAACACTGTTTGAAGAGCAGGTTGCGGGGATAACAATCAAGGGACGGGTGAGGGACAGTGATAGCTGCGCATCGTGCCAAAAATATAGATGATACATTGTACCAGCGCTAGTGCCCGTGTACATTCTCAATCATGATGTGTTCAAGAATGAAAGGGTGCTCGTTCATGAGGTATTTTTGACGCTAAAGTCCGGCCGGAGACCGGTGAGTGCGGGATATACAGTAATAGAAAACTGTATTCAGCATGCGGGACCTGTAGAATATTTGTTCCTGAAGTCGAGATGGTGATGGATTGAAAGCAAACAGGGAATTAGTGAATTTGCAATAACGTAACGCGGATCGGATCGGCAATTTGCCGGCAGAGATAAGAGGACGGCAAAGATAAGATTCTCCACTTTCACTTCAAAGGTTATCATGACTCTCTTCTTTGGTTCTCAAATACTACCACTTGTGCCATTTTGTTGGATATTCACTAACGCTATTGCTCCCTTTTTATCGTTGTCGCAGGGCCCTCAATAATTCGCTATTTCCTTCATTTCTCAGCAGAATGTCTCAAGATCCTTCACAGAATCCGCCTTTTCCCTTTGAAAGACCTTGCTTGTCAATTTGGCAGAGGACGACTCGCCATAACCCTTTGCTTCATGAAGGCGCTTCCTCTCCAATACCATCTACAGCCGATGCAGTTGTTATAGGTTCCGGCATGGCGGGAGCCGTGACTGCGTACGAATTGTTGTCGGCGCCGAATGGACCCAAAAATATCGTAATGCTCGAAGCCAGAGAGGCCTGTTCCGGCGCCACAGGTAGAAATGCGGGACACTGTCGTCCAGGTATGCTTCCGAAGCTATTTTGTTCACATGGACCCTCATCGATTTTCAAAGATGCTTTCCGTGGATTCGCCGCATTTTCTAAAATCCACGGCCCCGAGCAAACAATAAAGATTATCGAGCACGAGAAGCTCGTTCTTCAACTCGTCAAACGGTTTATTGATACCCACAAGATTGAGTGCGACTTTGATTACTGCAAGACCTTTGATGTTATCATGGGAGAGGATTTCTTTCGATATGTCACCAGCAGTTTTGAATCCTTCAAGCAATTTGGTGGCGACACGGCTGGCGTAACGTGGTTGGAACAAGATGAAGCGCGAAAGGTCTGCCCTCTGCCACGAGTTATTGCGGGCGAGGTAACTGACAAGCTGCATCAACAGGCAACTCGTGTTCCTGAGGCCCTTGGCGCATTTGAGTGGAATGCCGCAAGTCTTCACCCGGCAAAGCTTTGTCTTGCGGTCCTTGCCATAGGTCGCGATCTTGGTTTATCCCTTTTTACGCATACGCCTGCAACGGCGATCGAACGTTCCGGCGACAAGAATTGGGTTGTAAGTACTGCTCGTGGTTCTATTACGACACCCATCGTCGTTCATGCTACCAACGCCTTTGCCGATACCCTCCTTCCCCAATTAAAGACCCTCATAACGCCTATGCGTGCTCAAGCTCACAAGATAATCCCAACCCCTTCGTTTTCATCGACGAGTATGCTTACACATACCTATTCACTGCGATTCGCTTTACATCACTTCTATTCGCTTATACAGCGCAAGTCGGATGGAACGCTAGTCTTGGGCACCAGTCGGGGTATTCCTGGCCTCAGCGAAGCCACACGTGCTGAACTTGCTTGCAAAAATGACCGGGTATTTAATGAGGAAATTCAAGAAGATGCGGTTCGATCATTCAAGAAGATATTTCCTGATTTCGGAGAGGAGGCTCTGGGAGAGGGGCTGGAGTATGGATGGACAGGTATACTCGGCATGGTGAGTAGGTCCATTGATTGAGACCTCGAGCTTACACGTTCTTCTTCAAGACTAAAGATTCGGTGCCGTTTGTTGGAGCAGTTCCTGGTTGTCCGGGTCAGTATGTCCTAGCGGGGTTCAATGGTCATGGAATGGCGCGTATTTTTGGTTGTGCACCTGGTCTAGCACAGATGGTTCTCGGGGGAAACTGGGAAGATACAGGGATGCCGGAATGCTTCCAGATCACCGAAGAGCGGATGGCAAAACTAAGACAGTGAAGGTAAGTAGAATAAGATTAGATGACTGTATGTCAAGCGGTCCCAACATTGTATCCGACTATTCTAAGTGACAACTTGAAGTCAACAAGTATGAAAGACGGATGAACGTAAACGTTTAACGTAGCATCGTCAGATTTCGACACTGCCCAGGGAGGTAGTATACTTAAGCAATACTCTGCACGCCTCCATCGTTAACTGGATGCTAACCATCCACCGACGACATTCTACCGGACCATTCCGCTGTCTATAGAGGAGAGAGAGGAGCAGCTGTTACTCGAAGCGGCACGGCGATATTCGCAAAACTTTCCCGACTTTCGTAGGAACTTTGGTCACAGGCAGAGGCGAAGGGCCAGAAGACAGAAATGTTGTAAGCGGCTCATAGAAATTGTAGGATGTGGTCATTATCTCCTCAAATCATCACCGTGGCATTGATTTATAGCATCACGAAAATGGCTAAGTTGAAGTTTGGTTTAAGTCCGAGTTGCATGGCGACGCGATCCTGTTTGAATTTCGAGTAATAAAAGGAAACAAGGAGGGAGGTTGATAGAGCAAAGGAGAACGAATGGTCTAAGATGTTCGTACAACGCATGAACTAGCAAGTATACCGAGTAGTTGGAGCTATAAAGACGTGGGTGCGAAACAGAAATTATTCCCACGCCTCCTGTCCTTCTCCACAATGGACAACTCCAGGCTGGTGACCGTCACTTTTGAATTGCCTAGAACACAGCATGCTCTTTCCAAGCCTGAGGAGTGGAATGCGTCTTGGGAGCGTCTCTGTAGTTCAGGTCTCCTAGCCCCCCCACTTTGCCTCGAGTTGGCTCTTAAAATGGAGCTATGCGAAACTGGTGTCAAGGCGTTTGAATATTCCAGACTTCTCCAAAACACGCTTGGTCTTCGTTTTGATATTGGTGTAGAGGCTGTTGACCTGCTGCTCTACCATGATCTTGAATCCAAGTGGCTTGCTGCTACGCGTGCTACCCGCAGGCAACATGCTCTTGTTGGTTTATCCGAGGCAGGGGCTATAGCCAGAAATCTCAACGAAGCCAGGAGGTTTACGGGAGATATTCTTACTCTTGAAAATCTCAGTAAAGAAGGTCATACCCTTATCGACTTGCTCAAAGCTATCATTCCCGACGATATTTCCGTCCTTCCTAAGACACCATGCCATTTCCCAAATGCCGCCTGGGATTCACTCCGTGAAGAGCGCCAGAAAAATGGGACCGAGTTTGAAAAGTTATGGCTTGCTGAGGCACATATGCTCCGGTCAAAACTCATCTGTGCGCTTTACCTTCGCATTTCTGTTTATCGCTGATGCTACCTTCCACTCAGATCACGTCGTGCAGTGTACGTACTTGTCGTTCCTTGGACGGCCGCGTCCAAAGATCACTGTAGTGAGAAATCTCGGCCATTCTCCGCATGCCCAGATGGATTCGGTCGAAAAGGAGCTAAAGAAGAAGCTTTACGGTGGGAAAGCGGCCAAGGAGATGTGGAAAGACGACAAAGCTGCTTGGAAAGATCGAACCAGCCGGCGCGCGAACTCATGCACCAATTGCCTCAAAAAAGAGGAAGAGGGCCAAAAGTTTCCTCACTGTTCCAAGTGTTGGACTGCGTTGAAGCGAGATGTCCCTTACTGTTCGAGGTGCGTCTCTGGTGCTCGTCCTTTCTGCTTGAACTTCTTGAAACCCTTTGCAGAGAATGCCAGACTGCGGACTATAAGAGCAGACACAAAGCGATTTGTGGTAAAGAAATGGGCCTCGAAGACGCCGTGGAAACGGCGTTGAAAGCACGCGGTCCACCCAAGCCAACAGTTACCCAGATAGGACCCGCTGTCGAAGGCTTTAAACGCTCTCCAGCTCTTTTGCATCATATTTTCAAGCTAAACCGGGACCCGAAAACCGATCTATACATTCGGATCAAGGAGGGAACAGACAGCGAGGACTGTTTCATGCGAATGGACACTCCTTTTCCTCCCATACAGAACCTTATTCGTGCTGCTCGTGATAAGGCTATGACAACTGGCGATCGCCAGAGCGCGGCGCTCGTGTGCCATTTCACCGTATGGTTTTTGCTTGCCAAAGGGCTTGATAAAGAGCGTGGATGGGATTTCAAAGCTATGATTGATGAAATGACGAAAGAGTACGAGTTTCCAGACTTGAAAAAGGCGATGCTGGAGTTGCAGGTGAGGCAGTTCCGAGATCCTTTCATGCGTCCGTGAGTATATGGTCTTCTTAGTGCTGGAGCTGTGGAGCTGAAGGGTTGTTTTGCAGGCCGTTGGTGCGGAGCCTGGCACCGGCTGATTGGATAGGTTATGTGCGCATCAGTCCTGTGGACATGACCCGAAGGATTGAGTGACGAGGTGGCGTTGAAGTGATTGTACAGTTTTCTTGGAAGCAATAGCCATGCAGATTTTGGCAGTGTATTTCTAACACCAGCAGATATACCATCATGCAAAACATAACGTGGAGAACACCAACGAGAAGATCAAGGTCAAGCACCGTCCTCCTTTCCCTTTAATTGGGATGGCGGCATTAATGTATGGTATGGGGCTGCGAGAGTGGTACGCATCCCGGATGCACGAAAGAATGCTTGCTTATCTCGGCGCCACCAGCAGCACGATAGCCTTCGCGTGCACAAAAAGGCCACATTGCCAAGTAACCAAGTCACCTGTGGCGTCTTCTATCTTCCTTCATGCACAGGAGCTGAAAGACGCGCTTATAGGGACTTCTATTACCCTGGTGACTGCTCGTCGATTGCTCCCCAGTCCATCTTCCCTGAGAAAGTTGGGGTGTTATTCATTCTCGGCTCCGATGTCGGAAAAAGGCTTTGAACTGGCGCCTGGGTGTAGAAGAGGGAGGGGGAATTCAAGCACAAGACAAACTTGCAAAGCAACGTCGTATCTTTTCAATGAAGACAGAATTGAAACTCTGGGTCCGCCTACCCTTTCGTAGAACAAACATTAGCTCCGGCACCGCGGTCCGACGTGATGAGTCAATCCTGTATCAAACCGGAGTGGATTTTGGTGGACTCTGTGCTTTCCCTGCCTTAGATCCGTTTTAAAAGATGGATGAATGGGAGTTGGTCCCGCGACGGGGCGCTTCCCATTGAACGGCAGACCATCAAGAGCCCAGAACTACAAATTTGACCTCAAAAAACGATGGAGCCAATGGTACACAATCCACAACACACGTCCCCAAAAATGGATCCACTCGACCCCAAGAATTTGGCACTCTCCCACTGACGACGACCACCATGTCTGACGTCCCTACGAAGAAGGATGTACCCATCGACCTCAACATCCCCGACAATTACGTCCAGCACACCTTGACGACGACCAAACCGCTGCCTCCAATCTCTCTTTCCAATATTCTCAATGAAATCAACTGGCTTTCTTTCATCATCCTTACCTCGACCCCAATAATGGGTGTTATCGGTGCTTATTATACCAGGCTCAGATGGGAGACCGCTGTCTGGGCTGTGGTGTATTATTTCATCACTGGTCTTGGTATCACGGCAGGGTACCATCGTCTCTGGGCGCATAGGTCGTATAATGCTTCGATGCCGCTCCAGTATATGCTCGCCATGGCGGGAGCTGGTTCCCTGGAGGGTTCGATCAAGTGGTGGTCTCGAGGTCACCGTGCGCACCACCGGTATACAGACACCGATCTCGATCCATACAATGCTCACCGAGGATTTTTTTACTCGCATGTTGGCTGGATGCTCGTCAAGCCTAGGCGGAAGCCCGGTGTCGCGGATGTCAGTGATCTGAGCAAGAGCAGTGTTGTGAGGTGGCAGCACAGGCATTACTTGCCGCTCATCTTGACTATGGGTTTTGCCGTTCCCTCTGTGATCGCGTGGTTGGGATGGGGTGACGCGAAGGGTGGGTTCGTATATGCTGGTGTTTTGCGACTAGTCTTCGTGCATCACGTCAGTTTTCAAGCGCCCATTGTTTTCGGCATGAAGCTGACGTATTTATTCTTAGTCGACTTTCTGCGTCAATTCCCTCGCTCATTGGCTTGGAGAGACCCCCTTTGATGACAAGCATACACCAAAGGACCATATAGTCACAGCATTCGCTACCATCGGTGAGGGATACCACAACTTCCACCACCAGGTACGTGTCATTTCGTGTTTGTCATAATACTCGGCATCTGACACTGGGGCTCGCAGTTCCCGATGGACTACCGGAACGCGATCAAGTGGTACCAGTATGATCCCACGAAATGGTTCATTTGGTCGATGCAGAAGATTGGACTCGCGAGTCATCTGAAAGTTTTCCCTGAGAATGAAGTTCGCAAGGGTCAGCTGACGATGCAGCTCAAGCGTCTTCGCGAGACCCAGGAATCACTTGCCTGGCCTTCAAATAGTGATGACCTACCCGTTGTTTCATTCGACAGCTGTACGTATCCTTTTCCCACCCGGCCCTGCCAAGATCATTAACGTTTCGTTACAGTCCAAACGCAGTCGCAAAAGCGTCCACTCATTCTCATTTCGGGTTTCATTCACGATGTTTCGACGTTCATGGATGAGCACCCTGGTGGTGCGCATCTCCTTGTCAAGTTCATCGGCAAGGACGCGACTACGGCTTTCTTCGGTGGCGTGTACGATCACTCGAACGCTGCTCACAATGTATGTTACGTCTCTGTTTCGACTGTCTTTAGCTTACTCATACCTCATCAGCTTCTCGCCATGAAGCGCGTCGGTGTACTCCACGGCGGACATCCTCACATTCTGGATATCACCAAGCGAATTCCACCCAGCCAACGCCTCAAGATTGCGCGGTATAATGAATTGAGCTCGAACTATGCTAGTAGCACAGCGTGGAGTGACGGTGATGAGGAAGAACAGGAGGGTACTGTGAAGAAGCTCCGAAAGTAGGTCTTGTTAGCTAAACCCTTTGACTCCATACGGTACTATATTCTCAGCGCCGAAATTAGACGAAATTGTTCTCTCATATAAAACGTGATGTTTGTTGCAGATGTGTGGATTGTTCATAAGGGAGAGTGTATGAGCAATTGATTCATTGTACCTCTGTCTTTAGAGACGGCGAGCTCAGACATTACTACAAGAGGTGTAAAAGTCCTGTGCTTCAGGGGAGAATTGGGAAGGACGTTATTTAGAAAGGCAGACAAGGAAGTCTCTAAGTAGAAAGTAGACTGAACAAATAGTGCAAGAGTCTAACAAGGAATGCGGACAACACTATTCTCCAGCTGGCCATCCCCTGCTTCATATCGGACACATACCACTGCTCAGAAGAATGGCAATATGCGAGACTGCGCGACGTAGGAGGATCATATCGACAACGAAACGCGAGGTTACGCGTTACGATTGGGACTTTGAGTTTGATTCTCAAGTCATGAATGAGAAGGTGAGTAAAAAAGTCTGTATGAGAACCCGAACTGCGAGGCGGCCGCTTTAATGTCGAGTCACCTACAAGATAACAGACAATTGAGTTGTCGGTAATGATACTGAGGACTGGATATAATGTCATAGCGTCCTGTGTGTACACACGATAGAGCCCCGAACCTAAATCAAGCTCAAGGTAATATCATAACGATAGGCAGTAGTAGTCGAATCATCTTTGTCACCTAAGGTTGAGAACAGAAGTCCTGCTACCTGCCTCAACCCAAAAAGTGGTAGACTGCGTTTAAGATAATGAAGCAGATGGTCGCACCGGTCCCGTATCACGATCTCGCACAATAAATAAT